GATACGATGTATGTTTGGTCTGAGTTCAAACATTGATTGGGCTAGTTATTAGCATTCTAGCATTCTGCTTCGCTACTTTGTACTACGTGAATGAGGTCAGCCCGGTCAGGTCAGTCTTTGTATTTAAGTCTTCCCTGCGCTATTCAGCATCATTATATGTATGAGAATGCACATTGCTTGTCGAGATTCTATTCGCACCGCATTATTCATTCAGTCATTTTCATCACATTGCAGATCCTCGGTTATTGCGTACATTGCATATCTGTGCATGTAACAGTTGGTATGGGAGCATCGCACGTGAATCAAGACAACCTGATATGACACGTGTGCGGGGACTTAATAGCTGGTTAGTCTTTATTGATTGATTCCCAAAATCACGATTTTGACCTTACTATCGAAAATCGATTTTTTTTTTCTTTCCTTGGATTTTGTTTTCTGGCTATTCTGTTGTGGGAAATCGCAATACCGCAACATCTGAAATTTCCATTTTCGTTTTTCTTCTGAAAATTCGAAATTTCGTTGTTGAAAATCCAGAATATTTTTCGTTTCGAAAATTTTGATTTCCTGTTGCATTTCCCATTACTTAGAAATTCGAAATATCTTCTTTTTCGAAATTCGTTTTTCTGAAACGGTACGGGAAATCCCTCCTGCGGTATTATTTTCCAAACTGCGAATATTCTTATCTGAATAAATCCGAATACTTGTCATTTCTGTTCGGAATTTTTTCGCAGTTTTAAGATTCTGTCGTTCAATTCTATAAATCATTTGCAGTCTGAAGTCGAATTTTTTTTTCTGTCAGTGATCATTTCGTACTTCAGGGGAGGTTGGGAGACCTACTGAACTTGCAAAAATCGGGATTTTTGTTTTTCTCGAAATTTTTTTTTGCAAAGTTCAAACTTTTCTTTTTTGATTAGTGGCTCCTTATCTGAGTGATTGGTTGGGCGATTATCCCACCCACCCCTCCCCACCTATGTTGTTGCCATCTCTCGCCTTATCTCCTCGGCTTATCTTCGGGTACCCCCTGCGGCGGCAGTGGTGAGTTGCCACGTCAGCAGGCCATGTCAACAGACCACGCCAATAGGCCACGTCAGCAGACTACGTAAGTACGTCAGCACGCCACGTTGGCAGGCTACGTCAGCAGGCCACGTTAGTAGGACATGTCAGCAGTGCCACGCCAGCAGCAGAGGATACCACATCAGTAGGCCCCGGCCTGGTCTATGTTGTTGCGTTTACATACAGCAGTCATGGACCAGAGGCCCGGAGAAGCAGACGAGGCCTATCAGGCCCGCATGCTGGCCTGGAGTACCGAGACAAAGAAACAGGCAGATGACGCTGTCGCAGCAGCAAAGAAGAAGGCAGAGGATGCCGAGCAGGCACGTCTGCTGGCAATTGAACAACAGCGCCAGCATGACGAGGCAGGAGCAAGGGCTGCCGATGAAGAAAGACACCAATGTCGTGAGAATATATTTACCAGAGAGCAGACGTTACTTACAATGGCAGCGGAATGGCGGACCGAGGTCGAGAATAGCAAGCTGGAGGATAGCCCAAACAAGATAGCGCTCCTCCTCTCGCATCTCACAAACCTCCAAGCAACCTGCATTACACAGCAGGAAAAGATCCACGGTCTCAACAACTCGCTAGCTCACGTCCAAGACCGCCTTCAGCGGTTGGAGTAGCGACCAGCCGCCGCCGACGATGCAAGCTCTTCCAATACCTCTGACCGCCTCAACGCATTGGAGATGGACGTCGGCTCACTCAAGGATGGCGTGCACTTACAGCAGACCGCGACTTAACAGTTGCAACAATGGATCTGCACTACCGCCAACATCTCAAGTTCGTAACCGCGCGAGACAGCTCCAAAGTTCGACGAGCAGGAGATCTTCTCCGACTCAATGAAGACAGATCCGGTTCCATGGTTTCGCAAGTTCGAGCTCACGCTACAGCTCCAAAACGTCAAGGAACACAAGCACCACGCATACTTGTACTCTCGCTCAGGGGGCGCGTGCCAGGCTCGGTTAGACAACATGTTGTCCAAGTACGGAGTGGTAGCCAACGACTTGCACACAAAGATCAGTTGGGATGATCTAAAGGTGGTGTGGCACAAGCGGTTCCAGGCGGAGCCGCTGGAGATCAAAGCCATGGACAAGCTCATGGTCTTCGAGCAAGGCACGCTGCCGAGTACGGACTAGATTGCCGAGTACCAACGCTTGACGTAAGTCCCAGACATCCAGATGGGCTTCAAAGCCATCCGCCATTACTTCATCTCAAGGTCATGTCCGACATTAAGCAATGCCCTGACTTATGTCGAGGACACCTTAACGACGATGGCGGATTTGTTTGACAAGACCGCGCAGATCATCATCACGAACAAGGAGGCCAAGAACCTCCGTTCATCTGGGTCAGGCCTGAGCAGGGACCAACATCGGCCAAGAGTGGCCGTGGTGGCAGCGACAACGCCGTTTGACCAATCCAGCGAGGTTGTGTCTGCTAGTGAAGGGGACAGACTCACAACCGCCCGGGAAGGTGGCCGCCCCGGCAGAGGCCGGGAACGCGGCAAGACGAGACACACACCGCATCTAGCCCCGGGCCCGGTGCAGCAGCTCAGACAGGCCCATGGTCCCAATATGGCATCTTCGAGCAAGCATTCAACAGAAAAATTCCCACGAGAAATGAAAGTTGAAAAAACATTCCATAAAAAAAAAACCTTCATATTTATAAATTATCATTCCAATGTTGGTCCAATTCTAAAATTTTCAGTTTTATTTCATAAGTTTCCATCTAATTATGAGTTTTTCCTTCCAGCTACATCTATTTGTTCAAGATGGAATGAAAGTCAGGACGAGTTTATGAATTTTTTACATTAAACTTTCATTGTACTAAACAAATATCTTCTAATTTAGATTGGATTAACCTATTTATGACTGAAAATCGTTACTTAGAATGACAGTCCAATTAAAATATTTCATGAACTCAACCAAACTTTCATTTCATCTCTAGCATGCAGTTCAAATAATACGGGATGCCCCATTCTTGGAAGGAATTTTTAAAAGTAAGACGAAAAATTTTAAAATTGGAATGACATTTTTTTAAGATGGAATGAAAATTTAAAATTAACAATGTAATTTTACTATAGAATGATTATTTAATTCTGGGAATTTTTTCTGTTGTTCAAAGCACGCGAGAGATTCCATTATTGCCTTTGCTGCAACAACGACCTTCATCAGACGCAGGTCTGCCCATTGAAAGGCAAGGGCAAACAGGGAAACTGAGCACCACCGAGACTGACTCGACGACACTCTCGACGCCTTCGGAACCGGTTTCTTCGCGAGTAATCGGCCTTCATTCCGAGGCGCACGCGGAAGTCGATAGTCCTTTTCTTCTACTTTCTTTCGAGGACTATGCTGCCCGGCTCGTTCCTACGGTGGGTACTCAAGCTCAAGGGCAAGAAGTGTGTGCGGTTTCTTCTCCGTCCGACAATGGCGACATATCGTCTTCAAGTGGTTCTTCACGGGATTTGGCACGCGAGTTCAACATAGAGGCATTGGACTCGCTCACGTCCGAGGACTTTGCATGGCTTCCTCTCCCGACCACAGGCCGCTTGCCGGGACCGCAATGCGCAACACTTAGCGGTCATCTCCACACTTACTTATCCTTCTATGCACCACCAACTTCGCCGACGGATGACGAAGTCGCGGTGGGGGACATCCTGGCATATACTACCAAGGTGGACTGCGAGTTTCGCACGCAGCGGTACGATGACAACAACGCACCGCTCATATATATCCGCATTCAGGTTGGGCAAGCGTCCTGCAGCGCTTTGCTGGATAACGGCGCGTCTCGTAATTTCATGAGCCAATCCTTTATGCAAAGGGCTGGCCTTGGCGCACAAGTTCAGAGGAAGGCAAACCCGACGGCGATCAAGTTGGCGGATGGAAAGACACAACAACTTCTCGACCGTTACATCGAGGCCGTACCGGTCTACTTCGCACCTCATGCATGCGAACCGGTAACATTCGATATTCTCGATATGGACTTCGACATAATTCTGGGAATGCCTTGGCTTGCAAGTGCGGATCACACGATCAACTTCCACCGGCGGACTCTTAGCATTCGCGACGCCTTCGACGCGGAAGTGGCATGTACTATTCCTCTACCGCACCCTTCGATCCGGTGCCAAGTGGTGACGGCCAAATCATTCCGGGTGACTTGTACATACGAGCGGCCCGAGGAGATCGGCCTATGTTTCCTACGGACCGTCGTGGTAGCCGAGTCGTCACCCACGGACTTGCCTTCGGACCCCCGTGTGGTGCGGTTGCTGGACGAGTTCGCCGACATCTTCGAGTCATCTACCGGTGTGGTGTCGGATCGGCCGATCTCTCACGAGATCATTCTTGAGGCCGGTGCCGTGCCGCCGAAAGGTTGCATCTATCGGATGAGCGAGGAGGAGCTTGAGGTCCTCCGCGCACAACTCAACGATTTGTTGGCCAAGGGCTGGATCCGCCCGAGAAGCTCCCCATATGGAGCACCAGTTCTCTTCGTCAGGAAGAAGAACAAGGATCTACGATTGTGTATCGACTACCGCAAGCTCAACAAGTAAACCGTCAAGAATGCGGGGCCTCTTCCTCTTATCGACGATCTTCTTGAGCGATTGGGCGACGCAAAGTACTTTTCTAAGTTGAACAACCATTTCGTCAAAACGGACATATTATATTTTTTGAACGAAATCAAAACTGACTTTTTTTGCCAAAATCCGGTCGGAATTTTTCGCTCCTGGGGGTCCGGCGTTCCCAAAACGCCGGACCCCCCTGGTCTATGGTTGAGACCAGATACAAAAAAAAAAACAATTTTTTTTTATTTTATTTTATTATTATTTTTTTTTTTGGTATGTGGTCTCAACCGTAGACCAGATACATGTAGGGGGTCCGGCGTTTTGGGAATGCCGAACCCCCAGGAGCAAAAAATTCCGACCGGATTTTGGCAAAAAAAGTCAGTTTTGATTTCGTTTAAAAAATATAATATGTCCGTTTTGACGAAATGGTTGTTGTTGGATTTGAAATCGGGATATCATCAAATCTCGATCCGGCCGAATGATCGCTACAAGAGCGCGTTCAAGACGAGGTACGAACATTTTGAGTGGGTGGTCATGCCTTTTGGCCTCACCAACGCCCCGACGACCTTTCAAGCGGCCATGACCAATGAGTTCCGTGCAACGTCGGACCGGTTCGTGCTGGTCTACTTAGACGATATTCTCATCTATAGCCGGACATTGGAGGATCATCTTTAACATCTTCGACGAGTTGGGGACGCTCCGCCGCGCCAAGTACAAGGCCAACCGTGACAAGTGTGAATTTGTCCGGCAAGAGCTGGAATACTTGGGCCAGTCCGCTATCGGACAAGATTCAGGTCATCCAAGAGTGGTCGGAGCCTCGGAACGTCACGGATGTCCGCTCGTTCCTCGGTCTTGCCGGCTACTATCAGTGCTTCATCAAAGGCTACTCGAAGATCGCGGCCCACTTGAACAAGCTTCAATGCGAGGATCGGCCGTTTGACTTCGGAGAGGAGGCGCGGGGATCATTCTTCACTCTCAAAGCCGCGCTATTGTCGGCGGAGGTCTTGCGGATATACGACCCGCTCTTGCCTACGCACGTCACTACGGATGCGTCAGGCTATGACATTGGTGCAGTCCTCGAGCAACATGATGGTGTGGACTGGCACCGGGTCGAGTACTTCAGCAAGAAAGTGTCCATCGTGCATTTCATTGATGATGCACGCAAGAAGGAGCTCCTCGCCTTTGTCCACGCGCTCAAGCAGTGGCGACACTTCCTCCTTGGTCGAAGCCAATTTCGCTGGGTAATAGACAACAATCCGTTGGTCTTTTACAAGACCCAAGACACCCTCAACAGCACCATCGCTCGATGGATGGCTTTCGTCGACCAGTTCAACTTCTTTCCCGATCACATTCCCGGGAAGTCGAACCATTTTGCGGATGCTCTTTCACGGCGTCCAAATCATTGTACTGCGGTCTACTCAACCTTCAAGATCGACGATGACCTGCGGAACAGCTTCATCCGCGGCTACCAAGCCGACCCCGAGTTTCGCGACAAGTACGCGAATTGCTCCTTTCCTAATCCGGCTCCTTCTCACTACCGGATCCAATAGGGGTACTTGCTTGTCCACACGTGGGGGAAGGACCTTCTTTGCGTACCGAGTGACCCTCACTTGCGTACACGGCTTCTTGGCGAGTTCCACGATGCTCCCGCCATCGGACACTTTGGAGTCAATCGCACGATTGGCCGACTTCGCTAGGGATTTTGGTGGTCCGGCCTTCTCGGCGACGTCACGCGCTATTGCGAGTCATGCGAGGTTTGCTGACGTTGCAAATCCCGCAACCATCGTTCGTACGGCGAGTTACGACCATTGCCAGTCCCGTTGAGGCGAAGGGAAGCGATTGCCATGGACATTACCGAACCGTTCCCCAAGCACAAGACCGGAGTGGATGACTGACTCACCAAGTTCGCCATGTTTTTTCCTTGTCGCTATCATGCCAAGGCACCGGAGTTGCCCGAGGTTCTTTACACCGGTTGGATTCGAATAAAGGGTTACCCCAAGGAGATCGTCTGCGAACGCGACACTCGGTTCATGTCCGATTTTTGGTTGGCGCTCATCAAGCGATGGGGCTCATCTCTCAAGCCCAGTTCAGCTCGCCACCCTCAGACCGATGGCCAGACGGAGAGGGCGCATCAGACCGCACAGGTTCTTCTTCGCACTCTCATCCGCCCCGACCAGAAAGACTGGGTTGAGCGACTGCCGGACGTCGAGTTGGCCTACAACTCTTCCATCCACCCGGCTATTGGGATATCACCCTTCGAGTTCGAGCACGGCTCGCCGGTCACATCACCGTTGGACACTATTACTCCACGCACAGCCGAGAGCGACGACCATCTTCTTTTCTTGCGTCGGATGCAAGAGCTTCTTGTCAAAGCACGCAACCAGATGGCTAAGACGCAACAGCGCATGAGCCAGCAGGCCAATCGCCAACGTCTTCCTTGTCCAACAACAAATTTCTAAACGGAAAATATGCTTGAAAGTTGGATTTTCCCTCCATACCTTATTTTTCAGTCCTGTTCTAGTAATTTCTGCCACTTGTTGACTGTAAGTGGATAATTGTTCCTGTGTCGAAAGGTGCGCTACTTGTCAAATTATTTTGGCCCCCTTACTTTCTCCGCGCGTCCATATTAGAGGGAAGGTCACATTTGGAGTGCCAATTAACAAATTATTTGGGCGCCCTCCTTTTTTCGCCAGTCCGTTTTTGAGGGTCGGTCACATTTTGAATCTTTTTGGAAAGGGCGGTATTCAGGAGCGGAATTCAGCCTTGAACAAGACATCTCTCGCAAGCTCCTTCCGAAATGGATGGGGCCTTGGCCGATCGTAGTGCCCGCTAGGGATGCACCCGAAGGACCTTCCTTCACAATTCAGCTGCCCGGCCACTTGCCCGTCTACCCAGTCTTTCATTTCTCCAAATTGGCTCTCTACACGCCAGCGGAACATGCCCGGCCACTTGCCCGTCTACGCAAGACCCACCTTCTATGGATGGTTTTCATAAGGTCGGCGACATCATCTCCCAGCGACGCTACGGCAACAGGCCGACTGAGTATTTGGTGCATTTTGCATACCGCACACACCGAGCTGACCGATGGTTAACCTGCGCGGAACTTCAAGCGACAGCTCCAGATGTTCTCGCACGCTACGAACGCAAGATGCAAGGCAAGCCGGTTTCTTTGGCTCCACGCCACGCCCGCGTCCAGGTTCCACCTTCAGATCGTCGGCTTCGCCCTCGTCCCGACTTGACTTCATAAGGAGGGGGGGGTGTTACATGCTGCGCCTGCACACACAGGCCATTTTCCAGGCCTGCATCCTTCAGGCCGAAAGCCTGAACTTCAGGCTGAAGCCTGAATTTCAGGCCGAAAACCTGAAATCCAGGGCTTACATGCCCCATGTCGGTTCAACCCGAAAGCCTGAATTCTAGGGCCTATTCATGTGTCGTTTCCGACTAAAAATGGGAACAACCTTTTTAGCCTGAAACGAAGGGCCATTTTCGGTCGTTCATCAAAACGACCGGCCCTGAAACTCAGGCACCGAACCAGGGTTTCGGGAACAGGCTATTCTTAGCCTGTTCCCACGCCAGCCTCAGCAGGCTGCTGCACGCCAGCCCCTGGCACACTTCGGCATTGGCAAGAGCTGCCTCCGCGGCCTGGCTCGCCCTTCAGACAGTCAGGAGGCAGGCCGAGGTAGTACATAGGAACCTCCCAGACACTTCACGGAGAGGCAGAGAGGCAGTTGTAGTCTTCAAGGTTCGGGAGCAGCACTCTGGAGGGAGCGCTGCAG